TAGCGGGTAAATATCTTTAGATTTACCGTATTTTATATTTAAATTTCACGTCCTAACATTGGCTCTAGGATCTATTTACTTTAAGGTAATTATGGACAATGACTACCGCTCAATCTCAGACACATTTTTTTAAGAACATTTTCATTATTCTTAATTCTCTTTGCTTGATTCTGCATCCCGCATCCCGATGAGAATCTAATGGTAACTGAAGCACGTGGATGTCTATATCCCAGTTTTTTATAGTAATTATGCCACATGATTTGATTACATGATATTATTTCTTTATCGTAATCCGTGAATATGCGGTAGGCAGCAGCTTGACTCTGCCCCTGGCATTGCTGAAGTCCATGGGCGACGGTAACCACTCACCATCAGGTGGGCCGTATGCTTGTCTGCCTACAAGGGCAATAAAAAAAACTACGTATTTAATTGAAAAAAATGTATTTACATATTGAATTTTTAACACAGGCATGGTCGCATCTTTTGATACGAGTATCTCACTTTGAAAATCCTAAAACAGTTGTTAAATGTTAAATTAAAGGCCAAATTTTTTTTTTAATGTCACGACCATAAACATTATAAACTCATTTCTATCTGTTCCTTATTAAAGTCACGTAATTATAAAATCTACATTCAAGTAGTCAACAAATTAAAATGAATTTAAGACACTTGCTTACGCTTGTAGAGGAAGTATTAATTAGTGTATAAGTTCTTGAGTTAGGAAATCGTTGGAGGTCGCATCCGTAGTTCCCAATGTTAGTACCTTTTAAATATAATATGTATAACTTATTTAATAGTCTATTATGGAAATTGTTGGTTTGAACGTTTATCACTTAACGTCAATTCGGTATTTTTTGGGACCTAATTTGCAAGTTTTGGAGGATATTATCTAAAGATTAACTGGGATTTTTTCTCATTCTTATGATACTAAAAATATCTTAGTTGACCTCACCTGTCCAACTTGCTATGGAGCAGTAAGTAGGTGATCCAAGCCATAGTTAATATTATTAGAAGGGATAGTTAAGAAATCTGTTGCTTTTATTATTACAATGGTGGGCAATTAGTAGCTATTGTTTTTAGTTCTGACACGGTTGGTATACATGGCGTTAGGGTTCTTACCGAAGGAAGAATTTTAGTACTCCATATATGTATCGTGCCACTGGGCTAATAAGTATGACAATGGTTTGGTGACTTCCTCAAAGGATTGATGAACTAGATTGCATTCGAAATTTTGACCTCGTCCAAAGGCGAGCAATTATGCTTTAATGAATATTAATTAAATAAAATATTAATTTCATGAATAATTTTAGGGAAGTTCAGAACGGAAGCGACGTCTAGAGCCTTGTCAGTTATTATGCAATGTTTACAGAGATTACGTTGCGTAATTCAATTAATTTAAAACAATGACCGTAACTGAATTCGTTAGCTAATCGTCTTTTCTTGTTTGCGACCGTGAATGTGTTTCTGTTGTATTTGATTAAGGCTGTACATGTTATTTGTTGGCGGAAATAATATTGCTGAAAAACTGCTGAGAAATTATGATTGAGAATTGCCAAATATAGGTTTTATGGTTATAGAAAACGCATTTTAGATTTATAGTGGACAAAGCTGTATATATAGATATATGTGAATAAAAGGGTTTTTCTTATGGAAAGTTAGATGGCAGTAAGAACAACACTGTAATGAAGATAATGAAATTTGTAAAAAGCATTCGAAACGGCAAAAATAATAAATCTGATATTAAATTGTGAAAGTAGTGTTAATTATGCCTGCGACTCGCAGAAACCGCGAAAAATACTTTGTTGACGCATATTTATTGCCGATTATTATAGGTTTCGAATTCAAAGGTTTTTTGAAAAAAATATATGAAAAAAAAGTAACATATCGGTAGTAAAAGTTTATCCTATATACAGAGATATAGGTAATGTATAGACACAGCTAATAGTAAGTAATCACTGTCGTTCTTGGACATCGCTAATACCAGGGGCATAGCTATACCTGTACCTATTATAGCCTACTACTACCTGGAATGAGCTCCCCTCCACGGTGCTTCCCGAGCGCTATAGCATGTTCTTCTTCAAACGAGGCTTGTGGAGAGTATTAAGCGTTAGGTAGCGGCTTGGTTCTGCCCCTGGCATTGCTGAAGTCCATGGGCGACGGTAACCACTTACCACCAGGTGGGCCGTATGCTCGTCTGCCTACAAGGGCAATAAAAATTGTGTACAGACAAAATGCAGTCGGCCCTATCCTATCTTCCACAGGTAGTGCTGTCCAATAGCATACAGGTATTAGTAGAGAACATGTTGTACTCGGTACTTGTATATCTTTTAAGTTGACATCAGTATAGGGATGTTAAGTTATCGAAAAACATAGCCATCACAGCTTGAATGTCTTTATCTTAATAGAGAAACAACTTTGAAGTTTCAGTTGGGTTGGTATTTCTTACCTTGCTGGTACTTTATGGTAGAGATAGTCAGGATTCCAGTAAGACGGACTATTAGCTAACTGTCTAACCACAAAATAAGCTATCGTGAATTAAATCGACTTTCAGTCGAGGAAAGATTGATAACACACGTGCGTAGATTCTTGCATTGAAAAGACATCAACGCGAGCGATAGGTTTACGCGTCGTCCTCTAAATCTGCCTTTAGATCATTAATAGGCGTAAGGAATAATAAAAATACGTGTTTTAAGGAAATAAATGTCTAAGATACAAGTATTTGATAAGAGTTTTTTGTTATGATCACAATTATAGCATTTTCTTTTTGAATATTTTAAAGTTTTCGATTGAACCGAAAGTGAGTTTTGATTGAGATCCCAACTAGCTTGCTCATTTACTGGTGGTAGGACCTCTTGTGAGTCCGTACGGGTAGGTACCACTACCCCACCCATTTCTGTCGTGAAGCACTAATGCGTTTCGGTTTGAAGAGTGGGGCAGCCGTTGTAACTATACTGAGAACTTATATCTCAAGGTGGGTGGCGCATTTACGTTGTAGATGTCTATGGGCTCCAGTAACCACTTAAGGCCAGGTGGCCGGTGAGTTCGTCCACCCATCTAAGCAATAAAAAATAACAAAAAAAGCCAGCCGTTTTGAGTTGTGAGATCGGCGTCAATTTGAATACGAATGGTATATTAAAATAGCTTAGTGTATTTCTCACCTTATTCTACTGCCCACCTTCAAATTACTGCTGAGTGAATGATGGCGAGTGTCTATGCAGGCCGACAATTCAAATTCAATTCAAATTCAAAATCATTTATTTCAACTTGGATGTCATCAAAAACACACTTGTTGAATGTCAAAATGTAAAAGAAAATGTTAACTCTACCACCGGTTCCAAAAACGGCCATAGTTCTGAGAAGAACCGGCGAAACAAACTCAGAGGGCTTTTTTTTTTTTTTGTATTTTCTTAACTATTTTTTTTTTTAAACAAGATAACATATTTACAGTATACGAAAAAACAAGTCAAAAAAATACAATTCAAATAAATAATAATAATAATAATGAAAAATGAAAAGGCCAGGAGCGAACGCCTCATTCCCACGTAGTGCCATCTAGTAAAAAATCCTTAACTTTATAATATGCCTTGTTGCACAAACGTTCCTTGACAGTTTTCTTAAATCTATGAACAGGTAGTAGTTGAACGTTTTGTGGGATCTTGNCAAACGTTCCTTGACAGTTTTCTTAAATCTATGAACAGGTAGTAGTTGAACGTTTTGTGGGATCTTGTTGAAAAGTTGTACACCCAGCCCCCTGAAAGAGTTGCTTATTTTCTTAATTCGAGCCGCCGGCAACGCAAGCCTATGTTTGTTCCTAGTGTTCACATTATGCAAATCGCAGACTCTGGGGAATTCTACAATGTTTTTACGAACGTACAATAAATTTTCAAAAATGTATTGGGACGCTAAAGTTAGAATTTTGATTTCCTTAAACTTGTCCCTCAAGGATTCCCTCGGGTGCATATTATAAATAGCACGATTATAAATAGCTTGAGATCTGTGTTAGTGAGATATGGAAGCAATTATGAAGACGTTTTTAAGCTTCTATTAATTCATTTGTTATTACGTGTAAATCGCAGACGCTCGTTTCCGGCAACGCTTGTAAATTTGTGCGTGTTCTCGTGGAACTAACGGTGCTCTGGAGACGTGACATTAACATGTAAAATTACATAATTCTGTACCATACCGAAAATATCACCATTGTCAAGATATATTATTCGTCTATTATTTAGGGATGGTCTGTAACAGGTGAAATTAGAGACCTGTTCCACCTGTTCCTGTTTCAGTGAAAGATCAGTTCCAGTAGCATGTTCCAAAATAACAGCATGTTTCAATATAACAGCCTGTTTCAATATAACAGCCTGTTCGAATATAACAGCCTGTTCCAATGTAATATATACTGTTATAAACCAATATAATATATACCAATATATACTGGTGGTAGGACCTCTTGTGAGTCCGCACGGGTAGGTACCACCACCCCGCTTATTTCTGCCGTGAAGCAGTAATGCATTTCGGTTTGAAGGGTGGGGCAGCCGTTGTGACTATACTGGGACCTTAGAACTTATATCTCAAGGTGTGTGGCGCATTTACGTTGTAGATGTCAATGGGCTTCAGTAACCACTTAACACCAGATGGGCTGTGAGCTCGTCCACAGGTCTAACCAATTTAAAAAATATATATAACAGCCTGTTCCAATATAACAGCCTGCTTCAATATAACAGCCTGTTGTGTTGCAACAAGCTTAATAATGTTTTAAGTAGAATATGTTCCACATAAAGGAACAGTCATACATAGGAAATGGTTTTAATACATTTTTTGAAATGACAACAGTTCCAAGTTTTCCCATATACGAACCTGTTCTGTTTGACTGTTCCGATAAATACGCCACACCCCTGCCATTATTATTATTTTAGATAGTTAAAGGTCACGCGATCTTAGCCCGATACATTTTCCTGATCAGTTTTGCACCACTGAACTTTGCGCTGAATGTCATCGAGGATATGACCGACGATGGTCAGAGTGGCGGTCACGACACTAAAATAATGAGTGCTACTCGAGGAGCGTGATTGCTATAAATAGAATGACTAAAGAACCATCTAGTTTAAAGCAATTTTCAGTCTATAGACATCGCAATAAGATCGAACGCGTAATTGTATTGCACAGTGGTTCTTTCGACTATAGATTGATAATATGTGGATTCATAGAAGACCATATCTAATAGTATATTCATGTATTTATGCTATTGGCAACTTGAGCTCGTCCAACCAACTAATCAAAAAAAAAGGACTTTTGCCTTGTTGAAATATATAGACATCCATACGTGGTAGTTACTGGTATTTGTAATTTCTATTCATTTCTCGTAATTACTATCTTGAATATTAATATAGTAAAAGGCGCGTTTTGAGCGTTCGTCTAAAAAATTCTCACTTAAAATCTATATATATACTGGACCGATTTGGCTAATTTTGGTCTTGAATTATTTGTCGAAGTCCAGAGAAGGTTTAAAGGGTAGATAAATATGAAAATGCTTGGAATTAAATTTTTGTTTTTCTTTTGATGTGTCCCCCATCGGATGGATTCCTTTTGTTTGTTTTAAGTTTATTTTATACAAAAGTTTAGGTCTTTTATTTATCGATTGAGGCACTACGAAGTCTGCCGGGTCAGCTAGTAATGTTATATAAATCAATTCGATGTCGAGTCATCTCATATCTAAATTTCGCTTGCATTCACAAATTGACTAGCAAAAAGTAACGTAATGTAAAATATTAGTAAATTAAAGTATTCAGAAAGTATTATAAATTATTTATACATTTTTAATTTAACAAATGTGACGTCAAATAAATGCACTTCCATTTGGTCAGCAGATGCACGCCGGCGCAAATTGTAAGCCGATTGCGTTTCTCGAAACCGAGATAACGGAGCCGATGTTTCGATCACGATTGATATCGATTATAACTTAGTTAACGACAGATCCGGCGTGATCTGGTACTGATTGATAGCGTTTACAATCACGAAATGATCAGGGAATGTTTGGCGTAACTAAGGCTACAAAATCTTATGTCACTAACATGCTTCTGTTAGACTAAAATTTGTATGTGTAATCCTCCTTGCGTCGTATTCCTCATTGCTGAGGGTCGTGACCACCCTTTTGTATCACCTTCGCACGCACGATTTTTCTCCATCCATTCTTGTCTCTGGCGGTGTGGAGGGCGTTGTGAAACGTGGAATCAAGAGCGGTGTGGATCTGGTCGAACCAACCAATTGGGCTACGCCCCCGAGGTCTTTTCCCATCTACCTTACCAGTCACGATGAGCCTCTCGAGATTGCTACCATCCTTCCGTGCGATGTGACCAAAGTATTCAAGGACTCTGTGAAGACACTCGGATGACATCCGCGAGGAGATTTTGAGTTCTTGCAAGATTGATACGTTGGTCCGAAATACTGTCCACGGAATACGCAGCATCTTTCTCCAGCACCACATCTCAAAGGCGTATGTGTAATAAAATCTGGCAATAATTTTTATTAAAATCAAGACTTTCGATTAACTTGAGAATGCATAAGTATCCTAAAGTAGTGTCAGAACGCTACTTGGGTATAGCGGCCCGACACGATTACCCTATTATCATGGCTGCCGCTAGTTACATATACGACGACTGAACAACGGAACACCGCCGTCGCTCGAAGCATTTCTTTCCCCCGGATCCACTCTCGGTGCTTTTAAGTTCTTCAAGTGCTGATCACCATCCTTGTCAAATTTGTCGATTACAACGAAGAGCTATACGAGCGAACTAGCCCATAAACACAGCACACTGAGTTTTTCGCCGGATCTTCTCAGTGGCTAGATTCTGCGAAGCACTGCTCTTGATAGGCTTAATGTTAGTAAATTCTCTCAGATTGAGGCTCAGTGGGCTGTTTCTGTGGATTAGTTCGCTCGGCGAACTCTCGAGGACGGTGACCGGTGCTTGAGAGGCCTAAAAGCACCGAGAGTGAATCCGGGTGATCCGACAAGATATGTTTGGGTGACGGCGGCTTAGCGTAGCCCCGTCGCGGTCGGATAAGAAATAACCTCTAAGGCTACCAGCGTATAAGTATAGTAGAGAAGAAAAGAAAAAATAATTTACATAAGTATCAAGTACCAATGAAAATATATTAATTTTATTACTGCAGCCTGAGACCCTGACCAGAATCATATTATATAATTTTATTTAAATTTGTTTCGTTTTTTTTTTCTTAAATATTTCACTCACGTCAAACGGCTCTCGTAGCACGTAGACTCTGATAAGTCGAATATACTTATTATATTACGTCCAGTTCTCATTTGAAGTAGAACAACGACTATTTCGTCATTCCGAGCCGAATACATAAATATATAATATAAAAATATATGTATTAATATACATATGCTAAATATATGCTGGGTGGTGAATTTTAATTGTGGGTGCTTGAAAAATTACTTATTAATTAGATACGTTTCAGAAAAAGTCTTGAACGTTTTTAGTATAAGTTAATACTTGTAAAGTCTATATATAGGTTATTTATATATTTTAGCCTCAAAACTTTATACTTTCTACTTAGTTTGCAGTCTGTTTACTTCTATTTATGATTACTACAAAATATCGAGGTTGAGAAATATATTTTGTTGCTCGTAAATTCATTGGTTCATTGGATGAAGGTTTACAGGGGATACGGTCTGTCGCCGGCCTCAGAAAGGTCACTGACAGCCGAACTATATTACCCGAAGAGAGCAGATGTACAAACCGCAACGGAATCGTATTAATATAAATTTGTTACCCTTTTCTTTCGTATATCGCTCGATCCTATAGATTAGTATCGATCGTTATGTTAAACAGATAACGACTTTATTACTTATATTTATAGTTTCATCTACGACTTGTTCAATAACAATTAATAGAATTCCAAAATTTAATTAATTGAGAACTTTATTGGCATAGCTTATAACATTAAGCTTCGTAACTTTACTTCGAGTACATGTTTCGACAAATAATGCTTTCTTAAAACGATCATATCCGAATCATTTGGACCGTACTTAAAACTGGAATTTTATTAATAAAAACGCACGTTTATCCGTAGATAATCTATAACGCAACAATAGTTATAGTTTGTGTGCGGTGAGCAGTAATTGATATTGTTATTGCATGCTCCGGATTGATGCCGCGTGGCCTGTTATTAGCGGGCCGTGTCTTTTGACCCGACATTACTAAGGAGCCGTACCAGAACAATAGCGCGGCACATTGCATTATGCGGCTCGATTTTAGNATTAAAACGTACGTTTATCCGTAGATAATCTATAACGCAACAATAGTTATAGTTTGTGTGCGGTGAGCAGTAATTGATATTGTTATTGCATGCTCCGGATTGATGCCGCGTGGCCTGTTATTAGCGGGCCGTGTCTTTTGACCCGACATTACTAAGGAGCCGTACCAGAACAATAGCGCGGCACATTGCATTATGCGGCTCGATTTTAGACACGTTTAGTTTCAATTTGTTTGCTGATATTATTTTAAAACAATCATTAGAATGTATCACGATTCGATTTGGTTACGCACAGAGCATGTTATTGAAGAAATTTCTTCATTTAATCGAGTTTTATGGTCTCGCGTATGAAATTATCTGGCTTATGTTATATTATTTTTTTACAATTTCTGAAATAACTTTTCTTTGTTACAGGATATTCATCGTTTGCTGTCTTCTTACATTGTTCGAGGTATGTTTTGATTCTATTTCAACTGTCTTTATTAAAGTTGACTGAATGAACGTTGATGACTGATTGAAAGTTCTGACTGCGTGTTGATTTTTCGTTTTAAAATTGACAATGTGTGTGACAAATTACTAGCATTATATGGAATTGTTTTCGTCTTTATCAATTATCACTTCAGATCATTGGAGAAGAAGTTCTATATGTTATGATAACTGAATATTAAAAAAATTATTAAATATTTGTTTTTGCCTTATATTATACATATGTGTATTTCAGTACCCACAACACAAGACCTTGGTTCGCTAATTTATCGTTACTGTCTTTACAGCAAGTTAACTCAGTGCCTCAGCTGGACACGTCCTCGGCGGAATCGGATTCATCACAAGACCTCACTGACTCGGCTTTGGGCTCAGCATCATCTGAATTACACGAGGGCTCCGGAGAAGATCCGCCTGACCCAGTACCTACTTCTGTGGCAAAGGTAGCAAAACGTTTGCACGTAGCAATAAATGTATAATTATACTGTCTGTTGGCAGAGTAAATTATTATTGAAATTTTCGAACAGAATCGATCCCCAAAAATATCATTATGTTAACAGTCCTGCGTATCAAGCTACACTTAACAAGCTTATATTATTTAACAATCACAAGCCAGCCGTCATTTCCGAACTGATATTTCAAATCGAAATAGTATATATTGAGATATCATTTTTGTTTCAGAATGAAACAAGAGAAGCTCTGAAAACGGATGGAAGTGAACAAGACCCGGTGAGTTACAATGAAATATTACTCATCTGTTCTCTTTGTTTTAATTTAACCATTCCAATTAGTCGATTAGTACCTGAAATATAATTAGTAATTGACAAGTTATTATGTCGAAGAAACTTCTGGACTAATCGTAGAAGATAACTATGCCTACGAATGTTATAAGATTACTTGATCATAGCGTATCCGGTGTTGATTGATTCCAGGCTCCTTTTTTATTTCACTAGATTAACGATCTACTTGTTATATCAGTTGTCGTAGCATTGCGGCTTCATACGCGGGTTGATACCTTAATCCTGTCCATTTCTATTGCAAAGCAATCACGCGTAGCTATTCAAATAGAAGGGTAGATTTTTTCAATAAAATTAAGGTATCGCCCAAACTCTATGTGTATCTTTGGACTTAGTTAATCGCTTAGGTACAACTAAGTCGGTTATCTTAAAGGAAAACACTTTTCGCAAAAGCTCCAATGCAGTTTAAGTTTGGTAGTTTTTATTTAGACAAATTATTAAGACAGATTATAATCAGTGGCTAGCAAAAAAATTGCTTAGAAAAAAAACAAAAAAAAAATGTTCTGTGACATCGAAATCTATTTACTAAGTGGCCATGAAAAGAATGTGTTTCTATCCATGACATTATGAGCTACTGCATATACTAGACCACGTTTTCCTCGTTATGAAGCCAGATAAGTGCATTAATGTTGTCGACTCTCACTTTTATTGAGACAGTATTAAATAGGTGTTCAACTGTAGAATAATTTAATAGGCATAATTTTACAGAAAAAGAAAGTTCTGCTCGGATACTTACTGTCTATATGAGGAAATTTATATGTTCCCTATATAATATTGGTCCCTATATAATATTCCCTATATAATATATCCTATATAATATTGGTCTCATAGACATTTAAAAAAATTTCCTGCTTTCACATTCTTTAGTGAGAACAGTACAAAATTAATTAATTTTAATTTAAGTTAGAGTTTTATCGCTGGTCGTCTTCTTGAAATTGATATTATTTGTTAATTCTAAACCATGCTAGGGTTCATTAGAATTGCTAAGCTCGTAAACAAAGTAAACAAATACTAGTGCTAATTCGTCGAAAACATTCGCCGAAGAGTTTGACGTGCAACCTAGGCCACAGGCACACCTGAGTTTCTCGCGGGATTTTCTCAGTGGGTCGCGTTTCCAATTCGATGGTAGATTCTGCGAAGCACTGTTCTGGCTAGAGCTTGTGTTAGCAACATAGCAGGTTAGGGCCCCGTGAACTCACCTAATCGTTCGATGAAGCTGGCATAATCTCTCGAGGTTACCAGCATTGGTAGGAAGAAAAAAAAGCATAACATAAATTAGACAGAAATTATGAGCGCACACTTTTAGGTACCGCTATTCTGGCTATTACATCCTCGAGTCATTAATTGCGGGTGGGTCGAAAAGTGAGACAGTTATAAAATACAATTGAAAATTGAAGTGAGTGGTGGCATTTTTGCTGTGATGCCTAGAGCTCCGGTATTCACTTAACTCAAGTGGGTCTTGGGATTACCAATATAGTACTTTAAAAAACGTTGACTAGGAGTAGCAGTCATTATTCGAGTATTTATCCTAATGTACAAATAGCTTTAAAGACAAAAGACAAAGCATCTTTTATCATTCTTGTTCCATTCCGTGTTCAAATTTGCTTGTTCATCTCGAAGTAGCACTATTAAAATTGGCGAAGCAGTCAATTTAAAGAATTGCACGCGATAATCTCCGTCATTATATTTAGTCTCGGGGTGAAAGGTTTCCAACAAAAGATGCCAATCCACATTATTTAGCACAACTGCATTGGAAGTTTTGAATGAAATCGATGAGATGATTGGTTACAGTTTTTTTTTTGTGGCTGGCAGTAGTTCTGTTTTCGTGTTGGTTTTACGGTCAATTGGTAGCTTTAATGCAGAGCAGCTTACTTTGCTAATGTGACATTACTGAATCGATTTTTCGAGGCAGTGAAAGTTCGAAATGATATGATGAGGATAATTGACTTTTGGGTGTTCAACAATATCGAATATGAGCATTGTTCATATTCTGTTTGTTAACGGACGAGCACACACACCATCAAGGCAAGGTGCCACCTTATTGCCACACCCGTCTCGCTGCCCTGCTACTGAATGGAGGAGGTCAAGATTGCCCTACATTTTGCAACATTTGTACTTTGCTTCAATGTTACTTTGATACTCTCTCGTTCGTTGATGATACTCCTATTGTTAGTTTTCGTAACTTTTATAACACAAATGTCGGTTCTATGAAAGTGAATTTGGTGCTCGGCATGAAATATTTTAAATAATCTTTAAATGATGTATACTAAAAGACGGCTCCGGTAGGTTTTTTTTATGGAGATTATTCACCTAGTGAATATGTCACTCCATTGTGCAACAAAAGATGTAACAAAAAATGATATAGAAAAATAAAGGAAACTGTTATCGTCTCTGAAGGCCCACCAACACTATTTTATAAAGTGACTTAGCCATTTCGGATTCCGGAAAGTCTAATACGCAATTTACACCTCCAACTTGTCGAAAATCTGTATATTTTGCAAAGAATTGTTGTCTCAAATAATCATTCCGCGCACACTCCATCATAATGTGAAAAGCATCTTCCACTACATCACAAACTGAACATTTGGGATCAGGGGGCTCCGGTAGGTTAACATATTAATTAAACGATGCATTGTTTAAGTGGTTTTAATTCTAATCTTCCAACCTACACAGAAAAAATGTGTATTAATGACAAACATTTAAATTTTCATATGTAAAACCCCTTACCTAATTTCATTACATTAAAAATATGTTCGCATTGAAGAGTTACAATAGTTCGTGAGAATTGCCCAGCAGAATGTCAAGTTCACTGTCAACGTATATCAACAATGCTGTGATGTGTGGATTGATTTAATCTCTGACCTGTCTCATCGTCGGCGTGTGATGAAATAGCTGTTGTTTAGCTCACTTGTACGTGCACCATGAATAGCGGTCTCAGGCAATTGTGTGACCTAAATGTTTGCACAAACCCTTACTTTTCTTAATAAATTACTGTATTTTTGTAAAGACGATAATGTCAGCTGCTGGAACGCGTTTTACTGTTTTTCTTAATTCAAAGCGTTTTAATTCTAAGAGTGGTTGGATATTAAAATTTCACATCTTTTAATTCTAAATAAATATCTGAATAAAAGTACTGTTTAATACTCGTTTTCTTCCAGAATCTTACATCTGGTCTTGGTTTTGATTCATTAATTTATATGTATCATGAATGAATGATTAAGGATACAACAATATAAATAGTAATTTACAAAATGTTATTAATGGTAAAGAGATCGATTTTCACACGACGCTTTGTGCCTACAGTAATTATTTTTAAAATGCGGTAAATTCGATATGGCGTTGAGAGGTCATTATTTTAGTGTCAGTAGGAAAGTGAGAACTTTCGTACACAGAAATGCTTCATTTCTACATATAATTGCGTTCTCAAAAATTTGAATTCCATCATTTAACTAGCATTACAAGCTCTAATGACAATACTTCGCGGAGTGGATAACAAGCTGATTCAGCATTATTATCATGCTTGTTCCACGGACCGTGACATACCACGATGCATTCTCAAGTTTATTAGTTGTTTTTTTTTTTCTTTCTATCGAAATCAATTTGTGGAAGTGTTGTGGCGACAGTAGTCCACTGACCTAATTTTATAATGCGTAGAGAGGCGAAGCGACGGCGGGCGGCGGCGTGTGAACCGCCCTGGCCCAGTTACGATTGCCATTAATTGTGCAAAACTTTCAAGGGGGTCGTGACTGTGAAATGGTGCATTACCACTCACCGTAATTCGGTTGTTTTACATTTCTTTTGTCGAGCCAAGAGAATGGATGCAAACCGATGAAACAATTTCGAATTCTTCAACGAACTTTTTTGTTTTTGTTGTGGTTGCAAAGTACGAATTAGATTTTAGCGGTAGGCAGCGTCTTGGCTCTGCCCCTAGCGTTGCTGAAGTCCATGGGCGACGGTAACCACCCTCCATCAGGTGGGCCGTATGTTCGTCTGCCTACAAGGCCAATAAAAAAAATGTTCGAGTTGAAATAATTCAAGTAATTAGCGGAGGTGATGTGTAATAGAAGCAGTCATAAACCATGGATGCCGGAACGTGGTGGTTATGCGCTTAGCTATCTCAGGGCCATCGGTTGCCCAATCTCCGCACGTTGGGATGTTGCTTCGCAAATGCTTAGATCTTCATCAGTCTCTACGGATGTTTATTAACACCGTCTTTGTTAGACTGATAGGGATAATTGATGAGGACGTTGGGATATTATTGAATAAGCTTGGTTAGTAAGTAGATTCGCCTTACTTTATATCATACGTTAAATACCTATTTAGTATATTAGAATTTTTGAAATCTGGCGATATCCAGATTATGGATCGACTACTACATAAAAGGAAAAGTAGCGCGCTCCATGTTTTTTTCCAATACCTTCTATTCTACTATAGCTGCCGCTAAATATAATAAAGTTATTAAGTGATTTATTAGATAACACGAGCGACCACGACCTCCTTGAATTAGTCTTCTGCTTCATCGGTTTATTCTGTAACTCCTTCTGACTTTGAATACTAGTGGTAGGGAGTTTTATGAGTCCTTTATTCGTTTTTAATTTAAAGATGCTATTTTAATACATGGACCTAAGTCTTTACCTTATTGCTCAACATGAATCGCGACATTCACTTTGGGGTTCGTAATGTTGTTCTGGGCTATAATAACTACATAGCATCAGGTTGACTGATTATTCGTCTGTTCATCTACGCCAACAAAATAATCTCACCATGGTGGTAGGACCTCTTGTGAGTTCGCACGGATAGGTACCACCGCCCTGCCTATTTCTGCTGTGAAGCAGTAACGCGTATCGGTTTGAAGGGTGGGGCCGTTGTAACTATACTGAGACCTTAGAACTTATATCTCAAGGTGGGTGGCGTATTTACGTTGTAAATGTCTATGGGCTCCAGTAACCACTTAACACCAGGAGGGCTGTGAGCTCGTTCACCCAACTATGCGACAAAAAAAACCATTGTGAATCCAAAACAGCTAATTTTGGTTTTTTATTTACTTTTAAGGTGGTATTTTTATCGGAGAAAAACGGCTACATCCCGGTAAGCATTAAGCCTCGGTCACCCGCAGTTGATGTGGGTTGGAGGGAGCCCCCGGCCTGGGAAAGAGAGTACAGAAGACATCGTACGAACGGCAGCCGAGTACAATGTGAGTGAGCAAAAGCGATCCCTATGTACCAAAAAAAAGGCAGGGAATGCCTTATAACATAATTGTGTTCTAGTCTCTATATATACAAAAATGAATTGCTGTTCGTTAGTCTCGCTAAAACTCGAGAACGGCTGGACAGATTTGGCTAATTTTGGTCTTGAATTATATGTGGAAGTCCAGAGAAGGTTTAAAAGGTAGATAAATACAAAAATGCTCGGAATTAATAAAAATAACAATTTTGTTTTCCCTTGGATGTGTCCCCCGTCGGACGGATTCCTTTTGTTTGTTTTAAGTTTATTTTATACAAAAGTTTAGGTCTTTTATTTATCGATTGAGGCACTACGAGGTCTGCCGAGTCAGCTAGTTTGTAATAAAGATTTAAAATAATAACAATATTAACTAAGGTCGATATATAATGCTTGCTCCATAGATATTGAGGCTGAATGTCAAGATGACTTCATGAAGATTCGGGTTGGTTTCAATGGATCGTTCAACGGATTGGTTTATTCCGCAGGTATATCTAAACTATTTTCTCCAGCAGATCTTTCTTCTCGATTTATTTCCGTTTATTTAATATTGATCTTCTTACTCAGTACATTTTGATTTGACATTTAAAGTTGCATTTTGATTAGTTTTAACGTAACGTAGGGTTAGTGAAAGCGTTTTTTACGCTTTTATAGTCGAGAACCGTTGTTGATAACTAGCTCCCTGTATAGTATCAGTCTGTATACGCACACTGGTAGTATTACTGGTGGTAGGACCTCTTATGAGTCCGCACGGATAAAATAAATAGGCTCAAATGGGCGGTAATTTTTGGTACCACCGCCCTGCCTATTTCTGTCGTGAAGCAGTAATGCGTTTCGGCTTGAAGGGTGGGGTAGCCGTTGTAACTATACTGAGACCTTAGAACTTATATCTCAAGGTGGGTGACGCATTTACGTTGTAGATGTCTATGGTCTCCAGTAACTACTTAGCACCAGGTGGGCTGTGAGCTCGTCCAGCCATCTAAGCAATAAAAAAAAAGGTTCTATGATAAAAGTGTGACGGTTTCTAACAAACCCCATACAAACGCAGTCGGTTTCGTTTCCCAGACTAATCGGCCAAGCATCTTTGCAACACGTAGAACAATTAAGACTTGTAACTAGATAAGTGTCATAACGTTATCATTGTTGTCTCGTCTCTCAGACTGTTGACTGTTGGCTATCTGATTTATTAGTAGCGACTAGTAAAACGTGTAAGATTTGTTTTTTTTTGTTATATGAGAACTTTACAAATAATATGTAAATGCCGTGCATTTTGTAGATTCTTGTCTATTGAATTTCACGCTGGATCTTTTTAGTAGGTTTTACTTTAGATCTTTAGGACGTCTTGTGAGTCCGCGCGGGTAGGTACCACCACCCTGCCTATTTCTGCCGTGAAGGAGTAATGCGTTTGGGTTTTAAGGGTAGGGCCAATGAATAACACCGTCACCCATCTCGAGAGTTTTAGAGTTCGAAATCTGAATTTTATTGTATAACGGTTGTTCCTTCTCGAATTCGATTTTACATTTATTAAGTTGTGGTAATAGTCGAGTTGAACTCGTAACACTAAATGAAAATATTGAATATAGTTTATTAATGAAATTTTGCATGAAATGCTAAACAAGAAATTCCCATTTAATTACAATTATGTGTGAGATTATTGCCGACATTGTCTGGTGATTCGTGAGACAAACAATCAATTCTAAGCACCGTTACGTCGGTGCGGAAAATGATCTTTTAAAAAATATAAATAAAGCTCGGACCGAATTGTTCATAAGCGGTCCGATGGTTGTGGGCATTTGTTCACAAAATGATTCTGATTAGTAAAAATTGAAAATGTTTCTTTAAACTATAGAGGTTAATATTAGTTTAAAATCGGTCCGAGGTTGATCTATATTAAAAGTTTGTCAGGTTCCGTAGTACCTCGGGTTATTTTTACTATTTCTCTATAGTAAATATCGAATATATTCGTAATAATATTATTATTATCATCTATATCCATACATACATAATACATACATACATAAACTAGGAGAATAAGGATTACATAACATTAAAAACAGATTTTTAGAATTCACGCCCAAGCTACTGAAGCGATTTTGACAAAATTTGCTATGGAATTGTTTGAACCCTGATAAATGAAGGTTAGGTAAGAAAAAAAGTGTAGTCCGCGTCGCTGAAGTTGCTAATGAAAAACTAGTATTTAATAATTATTTTCACAATTATAATTTTTTTTTTATTACTTAGATGGGTGGACGAGCTCACAGCCCACCTGGTGTTAAGTAGTTACTGGAGCCCATAGACATCCACAATGTAAATGCGTCACCCACCTTGAGATATAAGTTCTAAGGTCTCAAGTATAGTTACAACGGCTCCCCCACCCTTCAAACTGAAACGCATTACTGCTTCACGGCAGGAATAGGCAGGGTGGTGGTACCCACCTCCTCGGACTCACAAGAGGTCCTACCACCACTAAAATTAGGTACCTACCACCAAATTAGGTACCATTTTAATTTGCCAATGTCGGGCTTTTTTCAAGACGCTTGACATTAGGCAGTAGGTCATCATAGCATTACAGGTTAAGCTTTAATATTATCTCTCATGTACACTAATTCTGTATAATCAATTCAATATTTATCTGTTAATGTATGAATGTGTAGTGGACCTAACAAAGCACGGTAGGTAACGCATTTATTTTTTCCAGGTTATTCTTACGACACGGATTGCATGTATGTGAACGGAACTGGCCGAGATTATTATGAGTTCTACATTCAGTTGAATAGATGTGGAACCCTTGGTAGGAACAGCCAGCATGATGACTCAAGAAAACACCCCACCGTAAGTCCTAGCATGAGTCCTAGAATACTCAAATACACATTATTTCACGATAACATCACATATTTCAGGATTTAACTTACATATTTTGGTTGTGAAGTACGAAATACGCTTACTGGTGGTAGGACCTCTTGTGAGTCCGCACGGGTAGCTACCACCACCCTGCCTATTTCTGCCGTGAAGCAGTAATGCATTTCGGTTTGAAAGGTAGGGCAGCCGTTGTAACTATACTTGATACCTTAGAGCTTATATCTCAAGGTGGGTGGCGCATTTACATTGTAGATGTCTTTGGGCTCCAGTGAACACTTAACACCAGGTGGGCTGTCAGCTCATCCACCCAGCTATGCAATAAAAAAATATCCTACATAAATGAATTACTGCTTGACGGCAGAATTGGGCAGGGTGATGATATTCAATACTGCTAATTACTGTCGTCGTTATTAAGATTGGTAGCTCGGTAGTGGTTCAAACCCTTGAGTATTGTGAAGTATAAAAAAAAAATAGTTTTCGAGATTTTGATGAGTTATCATTTACGTTTTTCAGAAAAACCTAATGTGGAACACTATAACGGTCCAGTACAATCCACTTATAGAAGAGGAGCTTGATGAACACTTCAAGGTGACCTGCGAGTACGGATATGACTTTTGGAAGACTGTCACGTTTCCATTCCTCGATGTTGAGTGAGTTACTTTCTTAAAATTTGAATATAATTTTTGTCTTAAAAGATTTTCAATGTTGAAAAAATGTTCGTTAAAAAATGCATTATATTAGAAAGTCAAAAGTCAAAAGAATTGTCGTAAAAAATTCATACGTCTTTTATTCAAATCGTAACAGAAATATAACAAAATTCGATTGCGTTAAATAAGTAATAGGTAAGTAGGCAACTGCCTAATTGATTTAAGTATAAGTAGCTCTATAAGTGTAGGCAATTTAATTAACTATAACTACGTAGCTCTAATTGCTTCGCAAGCACGAAGATATAGAACATCTTAAATGTTCGTTTTATTTTAGAGAATCGGAAACAATGAAGTTGATTGGCACACGAAGCACTGTCGTTATAAAAGAAAATATAGTCGCTCAATCGTCGCGCACGTCTGGTTCTAACGAAGTCTGTGACACCGAAACGAATCATAAATACGAAGATAATCTATCAAACGCTTGCAATTGTTATTAGGTTAACACGTGGTTGTTTTGGAATTTGAGGCGGCTTCTTGATAAAGTTAACAATAGATTTTGACTTAGAATTATAGATCGACATGCTGTGGAAAGAAAACACAGAAAATTGTATTGTTTTTTTTATTGCTTAGATGGGTGGGCGAGCTCACCTGGTGTTAAGTGATTACTAGAGCCCATAGACATCTACAACGTAAATGCGCCACCCACCTTGAGATATGTTCTAAGATCTCAGTATAGTTACAACGGCTGCCCTGCCCTTCAGACCGAAACGCATTACTGCTTCATGGCAGAAATAGGCAGAGCGGTGGTACCTACCCGCGCGAACTCATCATCATATCTATCATATCCATACCAATCCTGATATTATAAATGCGAAATGGTATTTATGCTTGTTTGTACTTCTATAACGTATAAACGAAGCAACGAATTATTATGATTTTACGGCAGCGTAAAAATTATGTGTATATATATTTATTTTTTCTGCTTGTTTTCAGAGTAGCGACCGGCAACCCAGTCGTTTTTACACTTCAGCCGCCGGAATGCTACATGGAGATTAGATCGGGGTACGGAGCGAACGGCGCGCGGGTCGCCGGCCCTGTGCACGTTGGAGATCCACTCACCTTGCTTATTTACATGAGAAGTTCATACGGTGAGTTCTTATCCTTATCCTTCCCTATACTTACCTGACTTAGTAAATTTTTTATTTTTTTTTATTTTGATAAGATGACGCGATGCTGCCGCGACTTAAAACATCCGTGACGAAGAAAATCTAATTTTAAAGGTTTTGCTAAAGAAAAATCCAATTAATGTAATTTGTCGAACATTTCAGTACTTTTTTATCTTTGAAGAAATATTTCTTACAGCTTATGGAAATTAACTTGTGAATCGTCAGTGAACTTTTTGGTTTTATAAATGTGGCGCAGGAGGCTTACGATACTATTATGTAACATAAAAAAATGAATATTGCTTTTGCTAATTTGTAACAAAATTCGAATGAACCATTTATAATAACAATTAAATACCGTAAGAGCAAGGGCGTCTGCTTAACGGTAGTTCGCGTGTTTCGTTGCAATGAGAGTTCCCGAATTATTTCGATTTGATATTCGATCAAGTTCATTGATCTTCCTTTTTTAAGTAAAATTTGGAAGCAATCCCGTTCGTCGATAAAGTGTGTCAGTGAATTATGTTCTATTATGCCTTTTGTCGTTAAGAGATTATGTGACAATCTTTTAGACATTGTACTAGCTACTAGTGCCAGCTAATTTCGTATTGTTGTTGTAAGAACGGAAAAATCTCTAAAGCATGTAGGTTTTGTTATTGGAAAATACTCTTCGTTACTTTTTGAATAATGAAGGTTAAAAACATCGGAGACTATTATAACCGGATGCTTTATGAAGATTTTTTTTTTATATTTTATTTGTGAATTCAAAATCACGTACTTAGTGGTTTTTAAATTATTTTAAACTTACTTTTATTATGGCTGTATTGGTGCTTGAATCTAACGTTATTCTAGGTCGGTTGTATTTGTATGGGTCTATTTGTATTTTAAAATTATTGAAATTCAGTTGAATGTTAACGAATATATTATATATATTTATTTATTTTCAGATGGTTTTGACATTGTTGTCAACGATTGCTATGCTCATAATGGCGGAGGCAAACGGATCAAACTTATAGACGAATTAGGGTAAGTATCCGTTATATCATTATGTGAATTAAACTGAAATAATTTCGTGATGGTTTTTTAAACAAATTTCCCAAATTAGGGGTAGATAAGGTTGGAGATCCATGATTTCAACTTTTGAAATTGAACAGTTTAACTTCCAAACGGTTCTGATGCAATTTATAATAACTAAAGGTAGATAGAACATTACGAATCAAAAGTAACGAGAAATGTTACCCACAGCTATTCTACAGTTCTAAGATAATATCTTCGAACAAATAATACATTTTTTTTAAATACACATAATAGCTCGCACGGATCAGTATTACTGCCATTCTGTCTATCTGTCCGCGAAGCACTTGAAAGCGGATCTTAACCCACTGAGTTTCTTGCCGAATCTTCTCAGTGGGTCGTGATTCCGGTCCAGTGATAGATTTTGCGATAGATTTTGCTAAGGCCAATGTTATCAATTCCTCTCAGGTTGAGCCCCGTGAGCTCACCCGCCAGTCACAGCGTAGCATTTATTTATTGTAGAGATGAGTGAAAGAAGTGGGTTTTAAGTGGTTACCGGAGACTATAGACGTCATAACGTGGTTGTCCCAACTATATTGAGATATGAAGTTTAGGTCTTGACTGTGTATTATAAAGAATATTCAACCCTTCAAACGGGAACGCATTACTGCTCTGCTGCTAAAGTGAACTACCTGTGTGGTGGCGCCTACCTGTGTGGGCTACCAATACAATAAGTCCTAAGAAACGTCATAATGAACTTCAGAATTAGGCGTGTAATTTTTATTTTTTCTTCCAGATGTCCAGTTGATGACAAGTTGATATCTCGTTTTCGCGGCTCCTGGTCAGAGACAGGCGTATTCGAAACTCAAGTTTACGCGTACATGAAAACGTTCAGATTCACCGGCTCGCAGACGCTTTATATTGAGTGCGATGTCCGGATGTGTCACGGGAGATGTCCGGTACGTTAATATATGTGGTAGACATAGTAATATATATATGTTGGCTTGTTTGAGTCCCTGATATGGCTAACCTCCATCAGTGCTGCATCATGTGGGCCGTAAGCTCGTCTGCCTATAAGGGCAATAAAAATAAGTATCATTATCGTTGGTTTTATAAATGGCTTAGGTGAAACCTTTGAATAGTTAATTTTAATGTTAACGAAGAAACAGATTTATTGTCTAAATATATAATTTGATGTTAGGGATAACCAAAAAATAACAGTAGATTTTTTAAAAATTTAATACGTAGACGATGATTAGATTGTAAATTTGAAAATTTAAAATTTGATAAGAACTTATTATTACAAAGTTTTCCTATTGATGGAGCGCTTCGTAAGCCCGCACGGGTAGTTACCACTATTCGGCTTATTGCCACCGCAAAGCTGACATGCACTCCGTCTTAAAAGTTGGGAATATCATTAAACAATAAAGTTTCACCTCACGTCTCGTGGGTCTGTATTCATGAAATTACATATGCTGTGGTAATGACTTAAAAGTAGATGGGTCGTGAGCTCGTTCAATCTGGCGTAATTAGTTTATAATATGTATTGATATTTGCAGTCACAGCCTTGTCACTGGCGGAACATGAAGAGCGTGAAACGTCGTTCAGTTGATGACAAATCAGCGGGCACCATCGCCCCGCCTCGCCTGTCAGACAACATCTCGTTGTTCCAATCCCTGCGGGTCCTACAGGAAGGCGAGGACGACGCTGATACATTACCCAGGACAGGTATTTTAACCACACACACAGTAATAGTCAACTTATTGTTGCAAATGCCATGATCACTAGTAGACTGAAGACTGCGGGTAGGGTAGCGGCGATGCTAGGAGCGAAAAATCGGTATAACCTTTGTAGTTCGTTTTTTTTTTGTACTGGAGCCCAATGACTCGTCTCGACAATACACATTTTAGGAACGAGACATGTGTTCAATCAAAATGTGAGCATTAAAATTTTATTGTAATATTGTAATGGTAACACCTAAGTCCTAATTAAGCTGCTTATTTTATGATTTGCTCATGGCAACCCCCTCTTCCGTTTCAGCCTTTTAGCCCCGTAAATGGCATGTTGTAATTAAATTATAATAAAATTAGAATAAACTCGAATGTTCATTTTACATGCCTGTATTTTATTTATACAGCATGTATTTTATGATATGGAATAATTCCTATTTGTAAAATTCTTAGTGTAGGATAAAACATTGAGTGAATGTTTGATATATAGGTACATATTACTGATGTTCTAAGATCGCACGTACGTAACCACGTGTATATATCTTTCGCTATGAATTCGCGTCGTATGTCGAAGGTTATATTAGTTATCCCAATACAATGGGGTCTTCAACCTCATTTGGTTGCAGGCTCTGGTAATATGATCGCTCACACCAGTGCCGTGCACCCGTGACCATAGACCAATGACATTTGACATAATATTTCACCTTTTTTTTTGGCTCGACAATGTGACCATGGAAACAGTATATGAGTCGTCTATTATCAAAGGCGGCAATCTGTGCATTTGGACAACAAAATTTTATTGATATGTCAATACAGATTTATTTGAATATAATCGTCTCCTTCAAAGAATACGGTTCAAAACCTGCATTAAATAAAGGTTAATAGTTAACCTGTTATTTATCTAAGATGTCGTTCCGAAGAGTTTTGTGACTGCCGATGGAATACAAAGTCAATAATTCGTTTTTCTGATTTACCAATCATTGTCCAAAAGTCAGATTGCCGCCTTTGATAATAGTCGACTCATATATAAGATACTTCAGCCATAAAATTGTGATAATTGTTTGTATTAGTCCTGAAACGACGAGTTACCTTTGTTACACCTAAATATAGGTACAAATACGTAAGCGTATGTTTTTGTTGTAACTAAAATCAATTTCGAATTTATTTCATTTCGCTCGTTCACAGGTTCCCCAGAGGGGCAGACGTGTATGAAGACTTCAGCATTTTCCGCTGTAATAGTTTCCTGCGGGGTTATAATAGCTGCTCTATGCGGAGCTGTTTTGGTTGCTGCGAAAGGTTGGAGAAGAGAAAACACCGCACCCCATCACGCCTACGTACCTCATAAAGGACGGATTAAATAAAAAACTTTTCTACTCTAGAACCGAATCAAACATTTTCCTAACGCGAAAATCACAATTATCATTCCAGCATTTTATTATAGTTGCCATTTGTTGTGAACCATATACATATCGTCTTCTCGCATTAAAACTGTATAATCTCAAAACTCACTAATTTTACAGGAGAGTGTTTTAAAGGTTTAACATGTGATATTTTTAATATTAATCATCTTTGCAACATTTATTTTTTAACAGTTTAATTATCTGTCTTTTAAAATATAGGTAAACTAAAAAAAAAAAAACTAAAACGCTCTTTTGAGAAAAATACTGGTGATACCAAATGATTCCGCATATTAACTCAGTTTCGCATATTTTTGGAAATTGTACACTTTTAATGCGAAACGACGATATTTTTTTTTATTAGTATTTCGCTGCCCTTTCGTTTTCTTTTTCACTAAACCGACTTCAAAAAGAATGAGGTTCTATGTATGTTTTTTGTGTGTATGTGCACGATTTCTCCGTTATTTGTGGACAGATATTGATAAATCGATTTTTTTTTGTTTGATAGGACATAACCTCGCGGTGACCCCACTCTTAAGTATAGTTAATGTATTTGACTCATAATATTTTAAATTATAGTTAAAATAGTGTAGACATATAATTGCAAATCTGTTGACTGACTACAGGTCCCGGGGATAATGGTGTTATTACTGATTCGTTTTCATCTCTATGAAACATATTTTAAGCTCATATGAACTAAATATGGACGCATTCAGTGCAGTTTGTCGCCGAGTTCAAAATTGTATACTTTTTAGGTATTACGATAAATTTTTAATAACAATCCTTTGGAAAAAGTATTCTAAGCTACAATTTAAATATTAAAGGGGGGGTTTTTTAAAGAGTTTTATGATAAGTCCCAAATATATTAGATATGAGATTTAAAAGTTAAAATTACAAGTATCCCATATGGAAACAAATATATACTACCCTAATAAAAGAAGTAAGATAAAGAACGGAGTCTTTCTTTACAATTATTATACTGACAGTTGAAATTTAGAAGTGTCAGATAATCTTGACAATAAAGATCGTTGTTATTGGTTTAATTTCAAATGCGTACCTGGTACTTAGCCTTTTGAGATGAACTAATTCTTATTGAGTAACAGAATCCTAATTATGTATTATTTTTTATTGTAGGTTATGACAAATCGTGAGGACTTATATTTTTTCATTTGAATAAAATATGCCTCCTCCGTTTGTCTGCAGTATTTATGTACCGATGATAATATTTATCAAAGTTGTGATAAAAATTAAGTATTAAGTGAAGTTTTATATAAGATACTTATTATTTTTAAATATAGATAGATAATACTCATACATAAATTAAGTTGTTAGCAATATAGCGTATTGAGATTTAAATCGTAAAGAAAACATTGTAAATATAGTTAAGATTTTTTTTAATTTATAAACGCAAATATTTGTAGTTCATTTTAAGGGAAAAATAAAACGCATTTCTACAACGAAAAACATTTATTTACGATAAAAAATTGCACTGCCTTCCAACATAAGTACAAATAAAAACAGTAAAAAAACACACGTAACACAATAGTAGTAGGTTCATTTCAACTAAGCGATTAAACACAGTGGTCAAGTGTGAATATTTCAATAATGTTTCATTAAAGAAATAATTACTTAATTTAAAAAAAATCTAAACTCATGGGTCACTGTTGAACAACAAATGGTATTCATTCGGAGATTTTTTTACAGTGTTGCCATATTGTTTGAAATTCATAAGACATAAAACTTATTTATAGTAAGAAATCAGTAAAAAAAAGTTCACACTGAATCATCGCATACCTCGAGTAAAAATAACAAACTTAAATATATAAAAAATTCGCTGTGTTAATCACTAAATACTTAAAATAGAATAAAAAAATGTAAATAATTCTTCGAATACTGTCATGATTTTGTTCATAGGTTGAGAAAACGCGGCATTGATAGAGCATTCTAGAAATAAAAAAAGGTCTATCTATCTATCTATTCACGATAAAGAATAAAATCCATAAGCGGCGTAGATTTTTCAAAGTAATTAATGGCAACATCAACACGAATCCTACTGTCGTTTGTGTTGCCAAAATGTGTGAATATAAATATCCTGAGAAATAAATATTGCAGCTTATACATAATTATATAAAATAAATACAAAATAGAATTTTTTATTACCACGTTTTCATAAATTCGCTAATAAGTACATCGACTTATTGTTTAACCGCGGTGGGTAGTGTTCGTATAGTTTCTTCCAGGTACGTAACAGTAGCTTCCAGTATTTGTACTTCGCATTGTTTCAAGAGTTTCACGTTGGTACTGAAAATAATAATCTCTAATAATAAGAATAGTTTAAAAACTTAAAAAAAGACCCGACTGAAAATAAAACTATCTGTCTTAAAATTCTGTCTTGATAGAAATATGGTATAGTCATAGTTCCTTAAGTAAGTAAGAGTAACGCCATCTATCACCGAATAGCAGAAACGAACATCGAAGGTACTAGTAAAATCGAGAAGTACAACGCCATCTATTTGCAGACAGATAGCACATCACACATCGAAGCTACTCGACTTGCCCAGAATGTTCTCGATAAATCTAGGGAAGTCGTATCGACTATAAAAGCGTTGCAGAGATGGCACGAAAGCAAAATGTTATTAATACAGGTTAAATTTGTACTTCGGTAGAACTTTTATTTATCCCGAACCTCAGCGCGTAACAGTATGTTACTTTTCGTATCTTAAGTCTTGGTGATTTTTTAGTTTGTTATAAGACGACAATTACACGGTCCTCCCAGTTTGAGACACCGCATTTGATCGTGTGTCGGTCTTTAACAAAAGCAATTTTACTCACACATGATCGGTTTCTGTGCGATTTTCGTTGTCGTTTTTCTTGTATGCAGCTAGTAGCAGTTTGCACCGCGTCAGTAGATACGTGTGGGCTCGACGGTCGATGTCGGCGCCTACCGCCTCAGCGCTGCTCGGCTCCGACGACACAAGGTCGCTTGGAAGACTTTGACTGGACCATTTCGTTAGTTCCTCTGGATTAGAACACTCGCACTGTTAGTTCGAAGTCGTCGTGGCCTAAAGGATAAGACGTCCGGTGCATTCGTGCAGCGATCAACGGTTTTCGAATCCCACAGGCGGGTGCCAATTTTTCTAATAAAATACGAACTTAATTAGATGTTCACGATTGACTTCCATGGTGAAGGAATAGCATCGTGTAATAAAAATCAATTTGCAATTATTGGTGGTAGGACATCTTGTGAGTCCGCACGGGTAGGTACCACCAACCTGCCTATTTCTGCCGTGAAGCAGTAACGCGTTTAGGTTTGAAGGGTGGGGTAGCCGTGTAACTATACTGAGACCTTACAACTCCTCAATCCAGGTGGGTGGCGGCATTTACGTTGTAAATGTCTATGGGCTCCGGTAACCACTTAAGACCTGGTGCGCTCGTCCACCCATCTAAGCAACTATTTGAATCACAATGGTATAACCTTTGAAAGAAGACCGCACGATTGCAGCCAAAATGGTGTGTCATGAATGTCGCCATCCACTTTCGAGACATTAAGTTAAAGCATCAATTTCATAATAAATACCATCGAATACGTACCCTGATTCATATTGAAGATCCTTATAAACGCCAATAGTTCTGGTCCGATTGGATTCTGTCGTTTGAACAGAGAGTAGTGCGCGACGCAGCCCAGCCCTAGCTTCGTGAGCAGAGACATTTTTATCTCTCGCAGAGGATCGCCCGAGCTAATGCCGAGTGTTACAGATATGCTGTCGTGCTGATTATTCGGGTAAACAAAACTGAAATAAATTTAAATGTTTGAAGCCTCCATCTTTTAGTGTCGTAAAAACCGACTCTGGGATTCTCATTGGAGAATAGGCACAGCAGCATTCCGAGTCTAATACCAGTGTATTACCGGAATTTTTTGGTGTTAGGGCGCATTGAAAGTCCGCTTGGGTTGGTACTAACCGTCCAACGCAATTTTCGCGCGAAGCGGTGATGTTGCTTAAAGGGTACCGACAATCTTTTTTTATTTTTTATTGCTTCGATGGGTGGACGAGCTCACAGCCCATCTGGTGTTTAGTGGTTACTGGAGCCCATAGCCATCTACAACGTAAATGCGCCACCCACCTTGAGATATAAGTTCTAAGGTCTCAAGTATAGTTACAACGGCTGCCCCACCCTTCAAACCTACTGCTTCACGGCAGAAATAGGCAAAATATTTCACATTGTTAACGTCAGACTGCTTTTAACACTAGATGGGTCTATATACATATGTATATTTAAAGAAAAACTATGACATAATCTGTTGAATAACAAGCAAATGTTACATGATAAATCATAATTGTCACTTTATGCATGTCCCATAAGGAACATAGCATATATTTATTGTGTTCAATTACGCAATTTATTTTTATTACCCATCATAAGCCTATACAATTTGTACAAATCGTCGTAACCTACACGTCGGAATGGCCTATACAAATTACCATAACACCGTTAATTAAACATTTTTACTACATCATAGATGGTATGTGAGCTTCTGGATACGATTTATGGTACATATTTGTGTGTTCGTTCTTAAACAAAATGTAGTTTAATTTCTTTATAAGTGATATCAGGTTTAACTATGAACTCTTTTTATCTGCGTAAAGAATATTTGTATTTTTATAAATAACAATATTTTTGAAGTGAAACTTTTTTGTGCGCATGGGAGTAGAATATTTTTTTACGGATGAAACGCAATAATAATAATATTAGTGACACGAAAATGTGGAACGTATTTGTGCTTCAAGAAGAGGGAGAGAGCGATCGAGACCGATTGAGAGAGTGAGAGAGAAAGGGAGATCAAGAAAAAATACTATTGGTTGATATATTCGTTTAGTACCTAGTTAAATACTAGAACTTTAGATGGCTATGTACAGACGAGCATACGGCCCACCTGATGGTGAGTGGTTACCGTCGCCCATGGACTTCGGCAATGCCAGAGGCAGAGCCAAGCCGCTGCCTACCGTTACGTATTCTCTCTAAAAGTTTCGGTTGAAGAATATGTCATAACGTCTTGTGCTACAGTAAACGCAGATCTTTTTTTTATTTATTTACATTATCATTACACAGTATACAGTGTGTAAACAGTGAGTAAAATTTAAAAATAAACATTTTGTGATAAATTTGTAAATCGTCCTATACATCAGAGTAAGTAATATATTTGTTATCTTTTTGTTATTTTACAATTTTTTATATTAATTCGTTTGAAGGTTAGGAAATTTTAATAATTAAAAAAAGATGTGGCATTTTAATTTGCCACTCGTCATTTGAGAATTTAATATACTATTTTCATGAAATATAAAATGAAAATATTTCATAAATACTCTTTTTTAAAGTTTTGTAATAGTTAAAAAAATATAATTTCTATATTAATTAATTTATAATTATTTTGTATAAATTTAAATTATGGTTAGATATTTTTACGAATTACAAAAAATCACGAGGAATTTTATTTAATATTTATCATCTGAGATTTTACTACAATTATAATTATAAAAATTAGTTTACCAAAGAGGTTTCACTTCTGACATGTGTAGGTACTTTGTACGCACGCACAGTTTTTTTTTTAAATAAAAAAGCCTTAGAAAGTTGTTCTAGAAATGTTATTGTAAAAAGTTTTATCATATTACCCATTGTGTAGAAACAGGTCTGCGTTAGGACGCGCTCCGTAGAATATGAAGATTTGTTCGTCGGTTTTAAAATCGCGGAGCGCGTAGCATTCGCCTCTATTTAGTTCGTTGTTGTAGTCCGTTCTTATCTAAGGATTTAAAAAATAAATTTCTATTGTATTACATACGTAATATTGGACTTTTAAAAAAAGTCTTGTTTATGCTTTATGTGTTGGAATTCTACAGGGGTTGTTGGAACTACAGAGTTAAAAAAAAAAGTGTTTATTTAATTGATCCACAGTCACAGCAAAGCGGTCAACCGTTTTAGTAATTGATATAAATTAATTAAATCATTGTTGTAAATAAGTGATTATTGTACTTTCAAATTATCTTAATTTACCTTAAGTAAATTTATTTAATTTCAAATTTAAAATTAACCTAAATAATTATGTAGGTCTACAAAAATTATTTATAATAATATTGACAGAGAATTTACGTGAATTTTCTTTAAGACTGTGTGGCTGTATTTATGTGTTATCATTTTTTTTTTCTTCAGGCATTTCTCAATATTTTTATTTCTAATTTAGATTTAAACTTAGATTAGAATTCTAAATTTAGATTTAAATGTAGAAAAAATTTATTTTCAGCCAACTAGTTGTGCGAAAGCATAAATAACATTAATGCGTGTGAGTCTAGCGTCAACGACCGTAATTACATAACTATTCAATTCTGCCATAAAGCGCCTTCGAAGAAACATCACGTTCATTTCCAAGATATCAAAGTTATTACTTTATATTATTACTTTCCCCTTTTATGTGTTCCTTGTCTTATCAAAGTTCACGAACAGGTATAAAGTAGGGAAACGCAGTGAGCTGCTTCGGTATTTATTAATATTAATTACCAGCTGACCCGGCAGACTTTGTAGTGCCTCAATCGATAAGTAAAATACCTAAACTTTTGTATAAAATAAATTTAAAACAAACAAAAGGAATCCTTCCGACGGGGGACACATCAAAGGGAAAACAAAATTGTTATTTTTATTTGATTCCGAGCATTTTCATATTTGTTTACCTTTTAAACCTTCTCTGGACTTCCACAAATAATTCAAGACCAAAATTAACCAAATATGTCCAGCCGTTCTCGAGTTTTAGCGAGACTAACGAACAGCAATTCATTTTTATATATTATATAGATTAATGATATTTTTTAGTTAATTAGTTACTGGTCTCGGGAGGACGGTAAATAATTTTGAAAACTTTCTTCCTAATTCTCAGTAATACAGAAACAGGACTTCCGATCAACCGGAGAGAAGAGCTACTTAATTCAAAGAACTACATTACCTCGCCGTGTTCATGGTTGCACATATCCCATAGCGGTATGAACGCTGTGACGTCAGCTTCCGAAAGTCTTATATTGTTTTGCCTTGTCATCACGGTTGAGACTGCCCACCTGTAATCATGATTTGTTACTTAAAAAAACAACAACTTTGTTTGTAAATTAACGATGATTAGCTTTGTCTTGTTTGCCTTGCAAAGGATGCAATGTAAAAATGAAACCCTTAGGCAATCAAACGCAAGCTGATAAGGAAAGAATATTTGTTTCGGTACTTTAAATTTATGAATGATATTTGGCTATACCTTTTATTTTTTAGCCTAAATGCCTATACAACTACTCACGGATCAGTAGATTAGCTCATAATCTCAACTTGAGGGAATTGCTAACACTGATTCGATTAAGAGCAGTGCTTCGTTGAGTCTACCACAAGATCGGAATCGCGACCCGCTGAGAAAATCTCGCGAGAAACTCAGTGGGTTGTGTCTATGGGTTCGGCTATAGAGACCTGGTATTGCTGACGTCAATCACCGCTCTTCATTAAGCGTTCAATTAATACATAAATACATTCGGACTATTTAAGGTTTGTTGGTAAGATTTTGGTATTGAACTAAACCTTCAAATTTGGGACATAAATATCTACACATATATGTATTATTTAAATGAACTTACTCTCATTTCGTTTCAAAAATAAAAATCTACATTGTTTACACTACACAAAGTTACATTTGTGTCACAGATATTCAAGAATAGTATTATATTTTCAAATAAGAGAAGTCGTCGTGGCGTAAAGGATAAGACGTCCGGTGCATTCGTATGAAGCGATGCACCGGTGTTCGAATCCCGCAGGCGGGTACCAATTTTTCTAATGAAATACGTACTCAACAAATGTTCAGGATTGACTTCCACGGTGAAGGAATAACATCGTGTAATAAAAATCAAACCCGCAAAATTATAATTTGCGTAATCACTGGTGGTAGGACCTCTTGGGAATCCGCACGGGTAGGTACCACCACCACCCACCCCGCCTATTTCCGCTGTGAAGCAGTAATGCGTTTCGGTTCGAAGGGTGGGGTAGCCGTTGTAACTATACTGAGACCTTAGAACTTATATCTCGAGGTGGGTGGCGCATTTACGTTGTAGATGTCTATGGGCTCCAGTAACCACTTAACATCAGGTAGCCTGTGAGCTCGTCCATCCATCTAAGCAATAAAAAAAAAAATCTAAAGTAATAATTGTTTCATAATGAAGTTACGGTATTCGTAGAAGACATGGTCTCACGGAGCGGCACGACAGAAATGTATGAAGTTAAAGAAATGTAACAAAAAACAAAGCCCGCAAATACGCGAGCGGGCATTGCCACAATAAATCTTCATTGAAAGATTTAACGTTATGTACATTTGTAATCACGTTGCTTTGTTCGTTAAGTGTGGAAGAGCACGCATTTCTCTTGTACGCACTCCATACATCATCGCTTGTGGTGATTATAATAGGTGGCAATTTTATATGATGAACATAATAATGATAATTTATTTGAAGTTACATATATTAATAAAATTACATATAATTTACTGATCAAATATAATTTTGGATTATTTCAATGGTCATCCTCCTTTTTTTATTTTTGTTATTACTACCAGACTTTTATTACTACCACTGTTCATAATCTAATAGAATCTAATAAATGTATTTCTAATCAACATATTATTATCATGTCTATAATAAATAAAATCTAAATCTAATCATAATAGAAACGTTATTTCTTAACATATATTTCGTAAATTAATGCTCACAATAGCTTTTTTTTTGTTTTATATATTTCATATACATTACATATATTATTTTATTGAAATCTGTTAATAGATGGTTAATAACTAATAATAATAACTGGAAACAAATCACGCAAGATCGTCCGGCCCTAATTTAGGATTCCCTGTCTTATGGGTACCAGAGACTGAGAATATATTTATGTATATTTCAATATACAGATGATAAACACCCAGACAAAGATAGATGTAAATTTAAGATAAATGTATATTTTTATAATATAATACAATTTGGGCTCTATTGTTGTATTTTCTTCGGTTTTTGCGAGTCGTAGACATAATCACAACTTCCTATATTTGCTTTTAATCTCGTGTTTTTTATTAACATATAATGTTATTAACATATAAGTTCGAGGTTTCGAATATTTTACAGTTTTCGTGGCCAAGGAATATTGATATTTTTGTTATACATCGACATTTGCATAGCTCACGGAAATAATGACAATGAAAAAAATGCGAAATTAAGTCGTAAAAGTAAATTTTAATTCCGTTAAATGTCATATCAGTTAGTTTCAGAGAGTTAAAGGTTTGTTTCTGAGTCGTAAATAATTCTCTTGCGCGTTGTTTTTGTCAATTTTTCAATCTCTTGACACGGTATGACAGTTCATTTTATGAAACTCATCTATTTAAACAAATTTCACAACAATACTTTGAAGGTAATCTGTAGCTGCCACTTTTACTTATTATGTAATTGTCGTTTTCGCTTTAACTACTGTCGCTATTGTATTGTGAGATGAAATTGCGAACTTTGCACTATCATTGTACAAAAGTTATATATCAGTTTTTTGTTGGACTTAATTAATAACAAGTAGTTAGGTCGTTATTACAATATCTTACATGTACAACAAAGAAAAAAAAGGGACAATGATAAATTAAATTAATATAATTAAATAAAAAATAAGAATACATTATTCACGTCTGTGAATGTTGGTGACATCCAACATCGGGTAGATTGTATACTTGACTACCTTCAAAAGCAATCAATATACAAAAAATATACAGATTACTAGCTGACCCGGCAAAACATTGTTTTGCCATATTATTATATAAGATTTCTGGGGAGTTTCTAGTCTAGAAAAAAAAACTAACTTATTGTAAGTTTGTAAGTATGTGGTAAATGAGTGAAAGAGGCATGTAGCGCTGTGAACGATGAGGGAATATATAATAAAAATAATAAAACCTCATTCAACCACATAATACCTCATTATAACAAAAAAAAAAGTCCAAATAAAAAAAAATATGTTAGGGGTAGACAACCCTAATCACTTAGGGGTATGAAAAATAGATAGTAGCCGATTCTCAGGCTTACTGAATATGCATAAAAAATTTCATGAGAATCGGTCAAGCGGTTTCGGAGGAGTATGGGAACGAACATTGTGACACGAGAATTTTATATATTAGATTTTCTGTTGGGAAGGTCACCTTTTTTTACCTTTGCTGATAGCCTTGAGAGGCTATATCAGCGTTACCCTAGCGTGTAGGTGAGCTCACGGGGCTCCAATCGGGAGTGTCGTTAACACTGGCCCTAACAAGAGCAATGCTTCGCAGAATCTACCACCGGATCGGAAACACCACCCACTGAGAAGATCCGGCGAGAAACTCAGTGGGCTGGGGACAGGTCACCGGAGAATGGGTAAAAGAGTTCTTTAGATTTTTTGCACAATACAAACATACTTCCGTCGCCAGCCTACCTTAACTGGTAGCGTTATGATCCCGCATGGGTAAGTAACTAACTATCAATAAACATGTACACATAATTTCTTGTTTTGATGTTATATTTAAATTAGATGTTCTAAAACTAAACGTGCGATAATTTAGCAAAGGAATATTCAACTTTGAGGGCTCTACGCTGTAATTGTGAATTGCAGATAATCGAGCAAACGGCCCATCTGGTGGTGAGCGGTTACGGTCGTCCACGGACATCAGCAATACCAGTTACAAATTCAAGCCGCAAAAAATAAAAAAATAAAAACTTAAACACAAAAACGATAAATGCTTTTAAATAATAAGAAAACCATAACTGTTGATATTTTATTACGTAGATAATGTCATCGCAACAAACACGTGTATCATAATCAAGTTTAAAAATTTTTTTGGACTATTACGACGTACATTTATTCTCATAATTTACGTAAACGCCCACGTTTGCTATTACTACGGGCAGCCAATTGTTACTATAAATGTTTTGTTAACGAGAAGGACGTGTTTGTCACTAATTGTCAACTACGGACGTGCCTATACGCACTTTCACAATTTAGCAGTGAATGGTTCGACTGCGTCAATAAACACTTTACCGGTTTACATAACTTAAATGCAAAATAATAAACATTGATATTAAGTTTAATTTTATATTATTCAATTATACAGTTATAACATAATAGTAATAAGTTACAGAGAATGTATTATATAAATAATTGATCGTAAATATTTATTAGATACTAGCTGACTCGGCAGACTTCGTAGTGCCTCAATCTATAAATAAAAGGCAAAAGGAATTCGTCTGACGGGGGACACATGTAAGGAAAAACAAAATTGTTATTTTTATTTAATTCCAAGCATTTTCATATTTATCTACCTTTTAAACCTTCTCTGGACTTCCACAAATAATTCAATACCAAAATTAGCCAAATCGGTCCAGCCGTTCTCGAGTTTTAGCGAGACTAACGAACAGCATTTCATTTTTATATAATAATATATAGATAAATATAATTTATTATTTTATTCACATCAAAATAAAGTTTAGCCTAGTAAAACTATAGCACAAACTGAGTTGCTCTATAAAGAGAAACAACATTTAAAGCTATTGCTTCACCAGTTATTATGTTTTTTTTATATATTTCAATATTCAAAAAAAGTTTTCATATCTCTAATGTTCCTTCTTGTAATGTTTCAATATTCAAATTACCATTTATGTCAACCTTTATAACATATTAACAACTTTTAAGATTTATGTGATAAATCATATAGAGGTTACATAAATAATAAATTAGTTTGTGTTTTGTTTAATTAATATTAAAATTTGTTCGTCACACCATTGTTTTAGATAGATGACGAAATAACACAAGAAAAATGTTTTATATTACGTAAAACATATCTTATAACGAGTATTACCCACACCGCAAAGACGGATTGTGGTTTCCTAATAACTGGAAAATACACACAGAAATACGAAAGTTATTACAAAATACTGTACAATAATAAGATTAGTTTGTCTGCCTAATAAACTTTTGAAATTCATATTTATACGATAAAAAAGGCTCTTATAAGGATTTGCGTATGTAATTAGAGAAT